AATAACAGACGTTGATGGAAAATGGACGATTTATTAATTGTTTGCGATAGAGAAGAAGAAATTATTCGGGAATGTAAATATTCGTGAAAAATGAAAAAATAATTCTGAGGAGAAATTTCGAATAACGTTGATTATTCATAAATTAGAAAAAAATTTGGGGTATATATTTGAGGGAATATTCTCAGGAAAAAATTGGTAAAAGTTGATCTTAAATATAGGAAAATTGTGGTGTTTGAATAATTGATTTGAAAATAACGGACGTTGATGGAAAATGGACGATTTATTAATTGTTTGCGATAGAGAAGAAGAAATTATTCGGGGATGTAAATATTCGTGAAAAATGAAAAAATAATTCTGAGGAGAAATTTCGAATAACGTTGATTATTCATAAATTAGAAAAAAATTTGGGGTATATATTTGAGGGAATATTCTGAGGAAAAAATTGGTAAAAGTTGATCTTAAATATAGGAAAATTGTGGTGTTTGAATAATTGATTTGAAAATAACGGACGTTGATGGAAAATGGACGATTTATTAATTGTTTGCGATAGAGAAGAAGAAATTATTCGGGGATGTAAATATTCGTGAATTCCTGAAAAACTAATTCTGAGAAGAAATTTCGAATAACGTTGATTATTCATAAACTAGAAAAAATTTTGGGATATATATTTGAGAGAATTCTAAGGAAAAAGTTGATCTTAAATATAGGAAAATTGTGGTATTTGAATAATTGATTTGAAAATAACGGACGTTGATGGAAAATGGACGATTTATTAATTGTTTGCGATAGAAAAAAGAAATTATTCGGGGATGTAAATATTCGTGAAAAATGAAAAAATAATTTTGAGGAGAAATTTCGAATAACGTTGATTATTCATAAATTAGAAAAAAATTTGGAGTATATATATATATATGAGGGAATATTCTCAGGAAAAAATTGATAAAAGTTGATCTTAAATATAGGAAAATTGTGGTATTTGAATAATTGATTTGAAAATAATTCTTAATAAAAAAAGAAAGTTAACAAAGCTTTCTCTCGTCTATTGCAAAAGAATTTCAAAGTTTTACGTAATACGTGTACGTCGAGATTAGATCACGCGATATTTTGTTTTAATACTTCGTTGTAATTATATAGTAAAGGTAAATTTAACGTAATGTACTTTAGTTGTTGCACTTGCCAAAGTTAGCCGAAGATCTCGTTCAAATACGATTGCTTAACGTGTCGTATATCAAAGATGGAAAATTTTCTTCTCGCGATTAAGAAATTATTTATTATTTGCCTGGTTAATTTCTGATTGGAACAACGTAAAAAAAAAAAAAAAAACTTGCACAATTCCAAGATCAAGTTTAAAAGATATTTAAAAATAGAATATTTCTAACATTTAAACGTTTAATTAAAACTTGAACGGTCCAAAATGGCTGGAATAAAATTCGAAGGATGGAAAACACACGTATTTAAAATCATTTCGATTCCAATTCACCGAATTTCCAAGGGAAAGGATGAAGGAGAAAAAGAGGCGAAATTCAAAAGATTCGTTTTAACACCGATTAATTACGAGCTTGAATGTTTCGAGGCTTCTTTCTTCCGCCATGTTGAACAGAGGAGACGAGAAAAGTTAGAAAAACCGCGTACAAGATTCTATTTCTGAGGCCCATTCAAAACTCAAGCATTTCCCGCCGTTTCTTCAAAAAAAAAAAAAAAAAAAACAATTCGAAACAACCGCGCGGAAAGGATTTGCTTTTCAAATGAAATTGAAGAGGAGCAGAGATGCATAAATATAGATTTCGTTTCGAATTAAACGAAGATAAAAAAGGATGGTTTTCCGAACGCGGAAAAAGATCCATAAATATAAATTTCGTGGCGAAATTTCATCGAAGCCAAATCGGTGCTTTGTGATCTTCGATTTTTTTTTCCCAAATCCAATCTTTCATCCGACGAAACTGCAATAGGATTCGATTCGATAAACATCGAGAAGGAAAATTTATAATACCAAAGTTTTTCAACGACCGACCTCTCGATATTTGTCTTTAATTACTTTCGAGATATCCGTGCAATTATGGCATTAATATGTATTTCTGCAGTATTGTACCATGTACCGTGCATTGTGCATTTCAATCTCTTTGATGAAAGTAATTTGAATGCATAAATATTAAGCCATTAGACGATCAAGTTGGAGGTACAAAAGTTAAGCAATTCCTCCTTCCAACACCGATATAATTCGCGTCTCGCTTCTCTTTATGTTCATTCGTTTCTCGTTATCCTCCCTTTTCCTTTTTACGTAAGAACACTTTATGCAAACAAGAAAAGTTGGAAACCTCTTTCCATCGATTAATTTAATCTCCGCAAATAATCCAAATTATATTTTTCAAATTATAACAACATTTTCCTTTCCTCCATCAACTCAAAGACAAATTACCAAAGATTCACCCATCAATTGCATACGAATCTTTTCTGCAACAAGAACAATAAAAGTTACACTTTGGAAATTTACAGTCTTACTTAATTTACAGTTTTTGCTCAACCACCAAAAAGAATATTTTCACACGTTATAACATTTTTCCTTCTTCGTTGACCACCAAATCTCCATCTTCTTCCATCCTATTTTTCGAAGCGAACATCGAAACTCGAATCCTAATCGTTTCGAAATTAATAAATTTTTACGATATTCTCTCAAGAATGGAAACACAAAATTCGTCGACCAAATCTCCATCTTCTTCCATCCTATTTTTCGAAGCGAACATCGAAAACTCGAATTTTAATCGTCCTAATTTTTATGATATTCTCTCAAGAAACACAAGATTCGTCGACCACCAAATCTTCATCTTTTTCCATCCTATTTTTCGAAGCAAACATCGAAACTCGAATCTTAATCGTTTCGAAATTAATAAATTTTTACGATATTCTCTCAAGGATTCGTCGACCACCAAATCTCCATCTTCTTTTACGAAACAAACATCGAAACTCGAATTTTAATCGTCCTAATAATTTCGAAATTAATAAAATTTACGATATTCTCTCAAGAATGAAAAAACAACATTCGTCGACTATTAAAACTCCATCTTCTTCCATCCTATTTTTCGAATCGAACATCGAAACTCGAATCCTAATCGTTTCGAAATTAATAAATTTTTACGATATTCTCTCAAGAATGGAAACACAGGAATTCGTAGAATATGCCATCAGAGGGAAATATGCCCACAGGAGTGGGTACATAGATACAATATATACGCACGAAGTGTTAATAGCCGAAGATGGCTGCTTAATATGATTGACACCACGGAATGGGTAATTAACAGTCGCTTTCATCGATATCTGAGGAAGGGGGGGCTATATTTAACGCGGCCAAACTCGCTTCCATAACGCGGTTATCCTAAGTTTAATTACTCCAACAGAGTATTCGGTGATGGCGTTTGCCCACGCCATTTCGATCGTCCAATATTACACGAGAAGAATACAAGTAGAATTCGATTGCACGCTCCGACTCGCGATTTTGCTTCGTGGAGAGGATTTTGGGTAATTCGGTTTCACGCGAAGGATCGTGAGGGATCAAGAGCGAGCAGAGAAGAATCGATATTACTTACTTGGCAGATTTACAGATGCAGTGAATAAATAACGTGGTTGTATATTTTCGAGAAGAGTGAATTCGTGTGAATTTTCGTGATTGCGTTTAATTGGATAAGATAGTTGTAAGGTTATATTGAAAAAAGAAAGATTGGAATTTGTTTTGTAAAGAATGTGTTCACAATGTGTACGTTACTCGTGTATATAATCTGAATTTGCTTCGAGAATAATAATAATAATTTATTTGGATTATATATTATTGGGAATAATATAACTTTTTGTTTTATTGTTCAATATAAGAGCAAGATTAATGAGTTTCTCTTTTTCTTTTTTTACGATATCTTATCTTAAAAAGCCTCGATCAAATATCCCGATAAAAATTTAATAAACGTCAGTTGTTCTTATTTAAAAAAGAAAAAAAAAAAAAACGAGCTATCGAAACAATAAATCTCCATTCGAGATTACGAAATTTCCATCCATTGAATGGTCCACGCGTGTTTTCCCAATACCCAACACCCGATTATATTCGAGGAAAATCATTCTCTCGATCGAATTTCCAACGAAGAAAGAAAGAAAGAAAGAAAGAAAGAAAGAAAGAAGGAAAGAAGGAAAGAAAGAAGGAAAGAAAGAAGGAAAGAAGAAAAGAAGGAAGGAAAGAAGGAAAGAAGGAAGGAAAGAAGGAAAGAAAAAAGGAAAGAAAGAAGGAAAGAAGGAAAGAAAGAAGGAAAGAAGGAAAGAAGGAAAGAAAGAAGGAAAGAAAGAAAGAAAGAAGGAAAGAAGGAAAGAAGGAAAGAAAGAAAGAAGGAAAGAAGGAAAGAAAGAAAGAAGGAAAAAAAGAAAGAAGGAAAGAAGGAAAGAAAAAAAGAAGGAAAAAAAGAAAGAAAGAAAGAAAGAAAAAAAGAAGGAAAGAAAGAAAGAAAGAAAGAAGGAAAGAAAGAAAGAAGGAAAAAAAGAAGGAAAGAAAGAAAGAA